CCAGACTTCCCTCTCTCCAGACACTTCCTCCAGCTCCTCCGGGGAAATGCCAAGGCGTTCCCAGGCCAGCCGAGAGACATAGTCCCTCCAGCGTGTCCTGGGTCTTCCCTGGGGCCTCCTCCTGGTGGGACATGCCCGGAACACCTCCCTAGGAAGGCGTCCAGGAGGCATCCGAAACAGATGCCTGAGCCATCTCAGCTGGCTCCTCTCGATGAAGAAGTAACATATGTTTTCATTTTAAAAAATCCTACACACTTTCAACAAAAACGGCCACTAGCAATGTGACTGTACCGCAGCATTGTGGCCAAAAATATAACAGTAAACAGTATTACCAAGATATTGCCTCAAACTTTGATAAAGTACTATGAGCTGAAATGTAATAAAAGTACTTCACACTATGGCTTGGATTTATCAGGTCTGACAAAACCATAGGCAGCTTTATTCTGCAGAAATATGAATAGGTTAGTTTGTTTAAAGTTACTTTAAAGTTGAGAAGGTTGAGGGCAACTTTACATGTCAGTCAGTGTTGGTGTCTCTTAATTTTATCAAATTTACATTTGTCATGATAAAATTACTGCTGGTGTTATTGCCATCCACGTTTCACTCTCAGATGTCAGTTTATTCGACAGACGACTTTGTTATTTTGCCTACCCTCGTTGTAAATGGGCTGGACAAAAAAAAAACAATCACCGGTGTAACAAAATACACCCTCCAAAATGATCAGAATTTATTTATTTATCCCAGGTGGGCAATTATGTTTGACAGTCTTCTCAATTCACACAGTAGCACAACAAAATAAAACTAAGTTGATTCATACAGCTGAAACAGTTTGAACAGAGACTGAATGTTATCACCTTCATGAAGAGAGAGTTTATTGCAGAAATGTTGTATTGAACTGCATTAGTTTTAGGTGCAACAGCCAAATGAATGCATATTACAGCCATATCCTGGCACACCGCTAAACATTACATAAACAGGCATAAAAATTATATTTATTGGGAGCCTTAGCCCGTTAGGGAACTGTAGCAGATTTGGTGCGCTCATGAGAACTTAAGGCACAGTGTGTGGGCTCCATGCAAAATTAACTTCATTATTCATCTTAATAAAGGGACATATCACCCACTGCATCTGTGAGGCTCTTTTATGTGTTTTAAATAAGATTTTGGGCAACACTGAAGGTCCATGGCAAAGAGGAATATGCTAGGCCTCGGCTACATAAACAGTACCTGTAAATACTATCGATTCATTCTTGGTTTTTTTAGTGGATTTGTTGACAATAATAAAAATATTGGATATAACCAGCCTTTTTAAGCATACAGAGATTTTATTTGACTTCTTTTCACGACTCCTGGCTTGACATTCTACCAGGCACAGCAGACTGTCTCCCTTGTTTTTCTTCTTCAGGATTACGACACATTCTCAATTAGACAGATGATGGCCATGTTGAAAATATTATGCGCTAATAAGTGGTCTAACTGTGTAACTGGGTGCTGGATGTGTTTTAGCATCCAGAGAAGAGTGCCATCAGCTCCACACATCCCTCACTCAGTGTCACTGATTCTGAATAAAAATGTGGGCTTTTAATGTGAGAACAAAGCCCTCTCTCACCACCTGCTCTTTATTCACAATAAAGAGATGTAGGAGAAGGCAGACAGAAAAAGCTGAAAAGGAGAAATGGGTGGTACGCAGCAGTGTCATGAAAACACATCTGAAAGAAAATTTCCTCTCAACTTCAGACAACTGCTTGTGGTTTCCTTGATCCTGTCCTCTAGCTCTGACACCGAAGCGCATGCAGATGCAGGCATAAGCTTGACTTGATAAATGTTCAGTACAGTCCCACATTTTTTCATGCAACTGGTGACCACTGTAAGAAAAGCTAATTTGAAGTCACTCATGGTTCCTGTGCTCCAAAAGTAATCATATTTTAAATCTCAGCGGGTGAAATTTTGAGAATCTTCTGATGTTGAGAGAAAAAGGCATTTTCTTTAGATCACAGATAAATAATTCCTATTTGGCATCTTATGAACACCGATCTGCAAGCTCACGTCTTCTGCCCGTGATACCATCTCTCACCAACATGCAAGTCCACAATAATTTTATCGTAA